AGCTCTTTCTCTACAGGAGATAAGACTCATACTCAGGGCAACCTTAGTAGATTTGAGGCTCCGTATCTGCTTCTGAAGCCAGGAGCTGGAATCCCTAAGTTTATCATTTTCTTTCAACCCTTTGTCCAGTGAATTTAGGAGCAACCAACCCACTTCATTATGTTCCTTGATTCCCCACATATGGTCAAAGATATTAAGTATAGGGTTACTAAACTTTTTTCTCATGAGCGGTCAATCAGGAGTGTCAAATGCATTTATTTTGCATAATTCTCTAAACAGTTCACACCAAAGCCTATCAGTGTTCTCCACACCATTAGAATTAGAGTCCTTAGCATTTTGGGGTCTAATCACGTTAAGCATCCAACTCCAGAAACCCCAAAACCAATGAAAGACCTCCATCCTTAATATTCTGTTTCTCTAGAACCACTCCTGATACAAAAATCTGTATTACTCAGGGTTCTCTAGAGGGACAGAACTAATAGGATAGATGTATATATATAAAGGGGAGTGTATTATGGAGTTTATTAACTTCCATGATCGCGAGGTCCCACAATAGGCCATCTGCAAGCTGAGGAGCAAGGAAGCCAGGCCAAGTCCCAGTGCTGAAGAACTTGGAGTCTGATGTTAGAGGGCAGGAAGCGCCCAGCACAGGAAAAAGATGTAGGCTGGGAGGCTAAGCCAGTCTAGCCTTTTCACATTCTTCTGCCTGCTTTTTACTCTGGTCTTACTGGCAGCTGATTAGATGGTGCCCACACAGATTAAAGGTGGGTCTGCCTTTCCCAGCCCACTGACTCAAATGTTAATCTCCTTTGGCAACACCCTCACAGACACACCCAGGATCAATACTTTGCATCTTTCAATCCAATCAAGTTGACACCCAGTATTAACCATCACACAATATAATCTCTTTAGACTGAGAATTCTCTCACTCCTTTTGGTATATGGTAAACATCCTACCATGAGAGACTTGCCTATGGCACACTGCAAACCAAGATTTTCCTGTAGGGCAGGTACACAGAAAAGAGACAATGGAAGCATGGTTAACCATCATTTTCTTTTCTCATCAGAGCTAGCCTGTCTGTCAAGGAACCCTTGTCACCTCCTAAGCAGTATTAAGGATTTTGTTATTGTTCTGTTTTTAGAAATTCTGTTCCTTGTAATTTATTTACAAAGTGATTTCCAAAATTGTATCTCATATACCAAGTTTATAAAGGAAGCTTTGCTTTTTGACCACCTAGTATAGCTCATTCATTTGTGTATCTCTTCAGTGGCCTGCTTCAAACAATGCTACCACAAATACCATATATTAAAATCCTAATACAAATATCAAATATTAGGATGATCTCAAAAACTCTATCTCTTACCCTAGGATTACATGCCTAGAACCAGTATATTATGTGGCAAATCAGATTCTACTCACCACCCTATGTGGGAGTATTTTGAGAGTGTGTTGAAGATGCCCAGGATAGATAGGGAATTGTCACTATCCAAACTGAAAATTTACATCGAATTGCTGTTATCGCACAGGAGCCGGGGGTATGGATGGATCAGTCAGGGAACTTCTGTGGGGATGAGGAGGCGTCTATGTCAGGGGAAGGACTGCTGATTCTGGGCTGTTACACTGGAAGCAGGGCACAGCCTTCACAGAGAGATTGTAGGGACGAGCTGGTCAGCAGGACAGGTTCCAGAGTTGCTCATGAGAGCACACAGGAGAGACAAGAAGGAGGGTGCTGTAAAGTGGGAAAGTGCTGAGGCTGGACAGAACTGCTGGCACCTGGACAGAGTCAGCTCTCTAGAAACCTAGGGCTCAGAATAGGAGTTCCTTAGGTAAATAAAGTCCACAGCGATCCCCACATTGCATTTATTCTCATCGTCACCTTACTTCTCTAGTCCTATCGGAATATCTTGGCCACAGGGTTCATCTTTATGTCACCTGAGAAATGTTAAGAATTGTGAAGAGAAGTAGCTTAACAGGCAAAGACCTTCCTGAGGCTGGGAGGAGTGGAGACGGTATGTGCCTAGATCAATTCACAGCAGGTTTCATGTTCCAGCCCTATCACATTCTAGCCATGTGAACTTGGAGGAATTCATTAAGCACTATGAGACTCAGGTTCTTCATCTGGGTAAAATGGGTTGGATAAGTCCTTTATTGTAGATGTTCTGGAATGTACGTAATGTGAATAAAACACCTGTCACAGTGACTGGCATGTATTGGAATTTTAATAATGGCAGTCGTTATCAATAGAATTAAAACTTCAAAGTCTACTACTGTCTTTTATGAAAAATTTAGCTCTTGTTTTTGTTATCTGAAACATCTCAGAGAAGATGTAGGTGAATATGTCATAAAATACCAACTCAACCAAAATTTCAGCTTCATAAATACAACTCAGTACATTTTCTTTCTGAAATAATATATTATATAACATGGGTAAGGGGAGAATTCCCCAGGTGGAATGCAGCTCAAAGATCCTAGAATTTGAATCAAAGACCAACTCCTTTTTGCCTTTCCCTTTGCTCACACATCCAAATCACTATTTCTATTGATCCTCCACTAAAAATCTAGCCCTTGCTTACAGTTGCCCACATTACATTCAAAATAACCTAATTAAATGTCCTTTCAATGGAATGGGCTCTGGCTCTCCCAGGCTAGGAAAATGAATGCCAGCCTAGAAGCTTCTGGGAAGCATTTCCAGGAGTTATCGCCTTATTTCTCAGGAAACCCTTGCAAATGATGGGTATCAATCACCTAGTCTTTGCACTGTGTTCAAGCTCATCAGTTTGAGAGCTGCAAGACACCTTCCATTACTTCCCTATGTGGAGACTCCTCTCTGCCTCATCCTCCACCCAGAGGGAACTACTCAGAGCAGTTTTCCATTCCAGGCTTTTCTCTCACCTTCTGAGAGTCTGGCCCCTGGCACCACCCAGCTTCATAACAATCAGCTCCCACAGAAGCATCTGCAGTTTCCTGAATCCCCAAAGTACCTTAGCTCAGGGACTTTATACCTGAAGACTCCATCTGGAGTCTCACCTCCCCACCCTTTGTAAACTTATGATTGTAGAGAGCATCTTACCACCTTCTTGGCATGGCTTCTGCTCCTAGATTCTACTGTTTTATAGGTAAGGCATAACTCTGGCTTTTCACTGTATCCCCACTACTAAGAGTCCCCTCTGCAAGCAAATGCTCACAGAATGTTAGGCAGATAAAGCAGTCAGAGATGCTTTTATTTATTAACATTTAATTTCTGCTACTTTCTTGAATGAGCTAAGAAAAGCCAGGTCTATTTCTTTAATTTTCAAGAACAACAGACTAAGCAGGATAAGCAAATGTAACTATTCACCATCATTTATTTTGTTCCACTATTTAACTGCTGAGTTCTTACACATTTTCAAGAAAATTCCTGGTGCAATACCATGTTATCCTGTTACAGATCACAAAATAAGAGACAAACTTATCAGACTGTTACTCTTAAACTAGATAAACAGCAATACATATGTGACTAATATTTATAAAATAATATTCTGAAGCTAATTCAACCTACTGTTAAAAGGAAAATCATTCAAAAAGTACACAAAAGGAAAAGAGGTAAATCTCCATCTCTCCCGTGTGGAACAGAAATGCGAAGAACACTGTGTTGTTCCCTCAAGCCCACCTGGGCCCTCCACTACCTAGTACCTCAACTGCCCTCTTCAAACACAGAGGTAAGAAACTGCCCTAGACTTCACTCAAGACACGAGAAGATTTTGGAGATGCCACGGAACCTTGCACTGGCCATGGCAGTAGCATCATTTTTGGTGTCAATTATGGCCTGGGCTCTGTCTTCCACATCTTTCAAAGCATCCTTGGAGGAGGTTGGAAAGGAACTAGGGACGGTATTGTTTTGCATGGCCAAAATCTCACTACTTTCTTCTTGCTAGTTTCTGGATGGGCTCTCGGACCCCACAGGAATTCATAACGTAGAAGAGCACTACTGGGCACATGCCGGTACTCCAGGTAATGTCCCTGCACTCAAACTTTAGTGGCGAACTCCCTGGGCTCCCCACAGATGAAGTCCACCCTCTGAGCATACACCCCTATTGCATTCAGCACTTCCCAGATGAACTCCTCAGACGCACAGTTGCCCTCAATGAAGATCACACTCAGAATAAGAATCAGGAGGCAGTTCTGGGGCACGCCCTGCTCATCACTCAGACTCCCCTCACAGCTGAGGTCTAATGTGTTTACAAAGACGTAGGAGTCGTCAGGGTCCACCTCTCTCAGGGAAATGCCAAAAAGAATCTCTATGAACTCACGGGCTTTCCTGAAGATCATAGGAAAGCAGCCCATGTACCTGTTGATGACATTCGTCAGCATCTCTGCTTTTGTGACAGGCTGTTTGTTTGATATCTGAGGAGAAGAAACTGTACCACCTCATCCACCTTTTCATCCAGTGTATAAATGAACAAGGACTCACTATCTGTCAGGCTGTGCCAGGTACTTGTATGTTCATCTTCTTGGCTGCTGGGCTCTTCATTGAATGGGCTCCATAAAGTGGAGGAGGAGCAGAAGGACAGGGAACACTGGAGAGGACCCTGGGGAGGACTCTTAGGAGGATTCTGGGGAAGAGGCAGCATCCCAGCAGACAGCTTCTCCTTCTCCTCATGGGCACCAAGAATCAGAGTAGAGGATGAGGAGGAGGAGGAGGAAGAGAAGAAAGAGGAGGAGAAGGAGGAAGAAGAAGAGAAGGAAGAGGTGGGGAATAATAAGTAGAAAGAGGAAGAGGAAATGGAGTAGGCTTTCTCCTCTTCCTCATCTGTGGAATCCTGTGCATCTACCAAGTTCTCTATCACAATTTGGTTCTGGAAGTCTTCCTCAAAGTTGCGGCTAGGAACATTTCAAAATAAAAGTATAATGTCTTCCTCAGGAGCAGAAGGTAAATCTGTGAGCAGGGATGTGGATGATGGGATCCAACAGGCCTGAGGGAGAGAGGAACACTGTAATTGGCCTCAGGTGTGAAACTCACCCATGATGGCTCTGACAAAGGCCGGCTTACGGCTCTTCTTCTCTTACGGTGGTGCTCTAGGGCCTCACAGGTCACCTGTCTTCCTAGGGGGTTTGCCTCCTGGGAACCTGTAGGAGGATGTGAGAAAGCACCTCAGGGCACAGCTGGCAGGCAGAGCCTGAGGCACCAGGAATGGCAGTAGTTGGCAATGGCCAGGTGCTGCCGGGTCTGCTCTGTTTGCGGGGGTAGGGCCCTTGGTACACAGTCAGGGTGTGCACTCACTTTGACTCCTGGCACTGTCTGGGCCTTCTCTGCGGTGCTGGTTTTAGGAAGTGTGCCTCAGACCCAGATCTTCAACTGCTGGTTCCTGGAGCACCTGCAAGAGGAAGTGAGGGAGCCTCTCAGGCTAAAGAGTGCAAGCAGAGCCTTGGGCCTCCCAGGGCTGACAGCTGGGGCTGGCCAGACACCCAGAACCCCACAGTTCTGGACTGCATGGTCCCATCAGAATTTAATGAGCATCCTCACCTTTTCTCAGACAGGGCCATGTCCCTACCACTCTTCTGGCCTGAGCCAAAACCTCAGGGCAAACTCCACATCCCTGAGAGCAGTGGGAGGTGGTGAGGTGGCAGCCACCTCCCAGCACTCTACCACGGGGGCAGTCAGGGTGGCCTCACGTCTGTTCTGATGCACATGTGACTCCTCAGTCCTCACTCTTATCCCCAGCAGGGCCTGGGAATCTTCCCTCTGCCAACTGGAAGTTGCTCCTTGTGCTGACTTGCCATGGGACCCTCAGACCAAGGCCTTCCCTTTCCCTACACCCCTCACCCACCAATGAGAGGGCTGTTGCTCAGCCTGAGCTGACTGGGGAACTTTACGAGGGCTGATATGGAGGAGCAGGGTGGGAATCTCTGGATCTGTTCTCTGAGGTGGCAGTTCCCCTTGTCTTCCTCAAAGTCTTCCTATTTATTCCCTAGAGGGCCGGCACCTCCCGCCTTCGTCTGTCATGAGGACGTGTCCCTCAGCCCTTAGTTGCCCTCTTCCTGTCTGTGACCTACAATCTCACAGCAGGTACAGGGCAGGCCAGAGCTGCCTCTTTCTGTGGTGGGAGGTCCCTCAGTTCTCCCTTGGCGCCCTTACCTTGAGGATTGGCCAGTTCTAAGAGTCTTCTGTCTGCTAATTTCAATTGAGCCTTCTCACAAAATGCCTCAAATACTTCAGACTCCCAGGATGCAAGTCGGAAAAGCACATCCTGCAACCCTGCCAGAATTGACCAGGGATGACAGCAGGGGCAGCATGGGACTAGGTCTCCTCTCTATGGAGGAACCACCCCTCACCTCTCTACCTCCTTCCCACACTTTCCTGACCACCTACTGCCCCTTCTCCACCCCTTCCTACCCATCTCCTGGGCCCCCTCCACCCCTTCCTGCCCACCTCTCAGTACCCCTCCACCTTTTCCTGCTCCCTTCCAGCCCCTCATCCAGATTTCCCTGCCCACCTCCCCACATCCTTTTCCAGGGCTGACAGCAGGGAGTGGCAGGGTGCAGCCTGTGCCTCCCCTCCATGTTGGAAGGTCACTGTCCTTCCACAGAGCTCTCTTCTCACAGAGTGGCCAGTCCTGGGGTTTCTCTCTCTGCTTAACTGAAGCTGCCCTCCTCGGAGAAAACTTCCCCTCCAGCTGACTCCCAAAGTGGAAGTCAGAAAGTTGTCATCTGGGGACCCTGATGGGCTCCTCCAGAGCTGGCAGCAGGCACAGGGACAGGACAGGGAGCACTATGAGTCGTGGGTGTTCCCTTCCTGCCTTCCTGAGAGGCTGTGCCTGGACTCTTGAAATGGCCTGGGCTCCCTGCCTCTGTGCATCTGAGTCTTTCACCTCCGAATAAGCCCCTCCCATCCCTGAGACCTGCAAGGTAGAAGAGAAGGAGAATCACATCCCTCCACAGGGGGGTGGGACCTCCTAGGCTCAAGGCAGGACTCTGGTGTCCTTTTTCTGAAATGGTGTGGGCAGGACTCTGTTTTCCTGCAGTTATTATTCCTGACATGGCCTGGGAGCCCTTCCCTTGCTCTCCAGACACTTTGTTCTTCAGATCAAGGTTCCCATTTCCATGAGACGACCCCCAAGACGAAGTGAAAAGCGCTAGCATCCCTGACTGAGGGCCCTGCCCAAGGCCTCCCAGGGTGAAAACAGGGACTGGATTTGTGTGCCCTTCTGTTTCTTGGGAGGGATGCCTCATCGGTCCTTCCTCTGTGTCATCGTAGGGATGCCTGGAAGGGCCTGAGTCCCTTCCCCTCTCATGATCTGAAGTGAGACTCACCTGAGCACAGCCTTCTCCTCTTTCTGTCCTCTGAGATGTCAGGGGGATGCCACAGTGGGCCACCATGCCCCAGGGCCTCCCAGGACTGGCAGCAGTAGTGGAGCTGGATTCTATGGATCCTCCTCTCTGTGGGCAGGGAGTCTCTGCAGTTCTCTCACAGGCCTCATGTGACTACTGGCTGGTCCTGGGTCTCCCTGTTCTTCTCATGATGACAGTATAACATACGGCAAAAAATAATGTAACTTTACCCTGAATAAAGCTAAAAAGCACCACGATGCCACGGTAATCAAATTAATATCATCAGTGACAAATTATGTTGGTACTATGTGCTGTCGGTATGATATGATAAGAATGGCACTTCACCTGTCTGTTCATCCTTCCAGGAAATATAACTTACATCAAATAATGACAAAAAAAATCACACAAATCCCAATCAAAGTCAATTTTACAAAATGCCTAACCACACGAAACTGTCAAAAGTGTCAATGTTTTCAAAATCGAGAAATGTCTCAATCAACCGGTACAGCCAAAGGGCATCTAAGGAACATGATAACTAATAGCAATGGAATATCCTCAGGGGATCCTGGGATAGAAAACAGAATTTCGTGAAAAGTAAGAAAATGTGACTGAAGTATGTTCAATAATAAATAAAGAATATTTGTTAAAAAATAATGTATAAATACTGGTTCATTAGTTTTAGGAAACCTTACCAAGGTAAGATGTTAATAACAGGAGGAATTGAGTGTGGAACATATGATAACCTTCTTATTATTGTTGTAATTTTATTATAAATCTAAAATTATTTAAACATAAAGTTTATCAAATATGAAAAATGTTATCAAACTAGATAAAAGGATATGCATGAGACACCTATAACAGATATATCTTTTAAGGAAATGTTGAAAGCCTCTAGTTTGAACTTGAGTCCTAACCTAGAGTTTCTGCTACAAGTATTTCTATTACTTCTTATACTAGAGGTAGTAGCAAGTGTAGTAATCCAAAGAGGAGTAAATGAAGGAATGAGGATTGGCCAGTTGGAAACAAAGCTTTTGTGATTAATGGATGATTAGACTGTGCATGAAAAGAATCCAAAACAACTAAAGATAATTTATTCAATATATGATAGTATATCAGTTTGCTAGTATAAGGTCAATATTCAAAAGAATATCAACTTCATTTTTTGTCAGGGAAAGAGTATGAAAATGAAAGTAAAGAATATATAGTTTTAACCTATAGTACCAAAATATCAATTATCTTAGGAAAATAATTTAACCAAAAACATTTTAACCAAATAGACTGGGAGGCAGCTGATGGCTGGTTAAAATATTTTTTGGTTAAAAAAGCTTAACCAAAAAATTTTTACAGACAAAAATATTAAAATGCTGTTGAGGCATATTAACAAAGACCTACCTGAACATAAAATAAAATAAATTCATGGGCATGAATATTCAATATTTTAAATATGTTGATTCTTCCCAAAAAGGAATCTACAGATTGATTGCAATCCTAAATCAAAACTGCCAAAGGACTTTGGACCTGAAGGCATGTGAGAACCTGATTCTAAAATATAAAGACATGCAAATGGACAAGCATAGTCAATATACACTTGAAAAAGAGTCATTTGTCTACCAGATAGTAAGAATTACAAAGCTACTATAATGAAGAGTTTGAGATTTGGGTGCAGAGATAGACCAAAGGAACTGAATGGAGAGTTCTGAAAAACAAAACCAACAAAACATGTATAAACATGTGCTAAAACTTGCAGCTTTAGAGCAAGAGAGAGTCTTCTTGAAATAGGTGTCAGTGGAACAACAGAATATCCATACAAAAAACCTAATGTAAGTGGAACTCTTTTTCATATTAAACAGTGAAAACAATTACAGGGAAATTCAAAACCTACCTTAAAAATATTTATTATAAAAAACCTGCAAAAATACACAGACATACTCAGAATAGTAAGTCTTTGTATAAATTATCTTTACGCAAGTTTGCAGTATAAGTAAATTAGAGCGTCAGTAAGCCTGGATTTGAAAGCACTGAAAGAGGCTGGAGTCTTTGGTCACTTCAGTAACAGGGGGAAGTAAGATGATAAGAGTCAAAGAGGAGCACAGGAAATAGCATCTACTTCTGCCCCCTTGTTTCAGCCATAAAAGGCCTGACTGCTTTCATGAACCTTTGCTTCCTGAGAGCAAGACTTGAAATCTCAGCAGTGGCTGGGGGAAGGCCACTTGGGACAATGTTGTATTAATTCCCTCTCCTACTTGGCCAGTGCTTCTGCTTACCTCTGGAACTCTGTGGATCCAAGAAATACAACGTGAACAGTTCTACTCCAGAAAGTCATGAACAGGGGATGTTGTGTTGATGACAGAAACCTGACCATGTCCAAAAACAGTTTACTGACTTAGAGGCAGTACCAGTTTGCCCAAATGTGATGGGAATAGAGGTTTATTTTTCTCTCCATATAGATAGGAGACTCACATACTTCCTTTCAGCTGTTCTTACTCCTGACAGGACCCTCAGCAGGATTCAGGAACCCTGAGATTCCAAAAAAGGTTGACTTGTGGCTTTGCCAGAGACTTCCCTGAGGATTGGGGCCCATTTTGTTGACTATGGTGAGGATCAACTCAGTCGTTTATGAGCTGACTTCCTTCTTCAGCTTTGTCTCCATGTCCCAGGGGCAGTGGGCCTCTGCTCATAGCCAGGATTGGTGGATCATCAAACCTCAGCGCTCAAGGTGGAAACCCACAGACAAGGAAGCTCTTCTCCCAGACTGGGAGGCAGCTGGCGGGTAAATTCCAGCTCTGGCTCCCATGTCCTTGGGAATTATCCTCATGGAGCTTTTCTTCTGAGGTCCCAAGAAGGAAGCATTTCTTATGGATGGTAAAAAGAAAATGGCAGCCTATCCTTTTACCTCCTGGTATTGGAAATAAATCTCCTGTCCAGAAGAGAGAGGGACTAACGTTCTTGGGATTGAATCAATGGGGAGTGTCAGGGACCTTTTAAAGGAGTGAACACAACCATTTTCCTAACATGCCCCAAATGACTCACCTTCGGTTCCTTATTCTCACTTAGATTCAGCCTTCAAAGAACATGCTGCCTCTGTCACTAAAGATTTACCATAGTTGCCATGAATATAGATTTTTTTGCACACAGGTTTGGGGAAGGGGAGGGCATTCCCTGATTTCAAGGAAGAAGGAGTGTTTGTGTGTGGTTCAGAGAGGTTATAAAATGCACGTGAGGGCTGACAACTTATTAAAAAATAATAGCTCAATGTGACTTTTTTGCTATAGGTGGCACATTTTTTGGTATACTTGATGCCTCCCTTTCTCTCAATTTTTATCAAATCCAAGAGCAGCATCTGTTACTCCAACCTCTAAAACCCATGTGAAGTCCCTCCACTTCAATTGATCTCCATTACTAACTCTGTGGCTCATCTCTCACCTAGACTAAGACAAACCCTTTTTTGCTGGTGCCTCTCCTTTAACATTTAATCCTGTAAAATCCATTCTTTTCTCGGCATTCTTTTGAAAACCCAGTGCATGGCCGATTTTTAAAACTTTGTATACATCAGCATTCACTATAATGAACATTTTTATTTATCATAGAAAATATAGAGTCTTACATCTACCACTAAAATGTCATAGAGATCCCTTCTTTTAGCCAAAAATTTCTCTTGCTTCACCTTGATAGTCAACCACCACCCTCTACCCAAATGCCAGCAACAATAGTGTGTTTAGCGCATTTTCTTTATCTACTTTTTTTTTTTTATCATTTCCAGATTTAAAATGCATAGAATCATACAATCCTGTTTCTATAGTGACTGTATTTTTTTTCAAATTAAAATCAGCAATGACTAAGAGTACCTGTTCTTCAGCCTCCTGTTGAGTGTTTGAAATTTTCAGTTGTTTTGATTTTAGCCACTCTAAAAGATGTGTAGTGGTATCTTGTTTTACTTTGTAATTCCGTAGTGACATATGATGCTAATCATCTTTTTACATTATTATTTGCAATGTGTATATATTCTTTGGTGTAGTGTATATCTATTCAGATCTTTTGTCCATTTTTATTAGATTGCTTTCTTATTATTGAGTTGAGGGTTCTGAATATATTTTTGACACACATCTTTAGTCAGATTTTTTTGCAAAACTTTTATCCTTGTTTCTCATTTTTCCTTTCATTCTCTTAACAGAATTTTTTCATTTTTATGAAGCCAAACTTACCAATTTTTTCTTTCATGGATGCTCCTTTTGGGTTGTATCTAAAAAGTTTTCTCAAACCATAGTCACTTAGGTTTTCTCCTATGGTATCTTCTATGTGTTTCATAGGTTTTTAAAATTTTATTTTCATATTTAGGCCTGTGATTGAATTTATGTTAGCTTTTATGAAGAGTTTAAGGTCTGTGCCTAGCTTCATTTTCTCCATGTGGATGTCTATTTGTTCTGGTATAATTGACTGAAAAGATTATTCTTAATTGAAATGCCTCTGATTCCTTGTCAAAAGTTGGTTGACTATATTTCTGTAGGTCTATTTCTGGGCTGTGTATTGTATTTTCTTGACCTTTTTGTCTATTGTTTCTTTAATATCACACTGTCTCAATTACTGTAACTTTATAGTAAGACCTGAAGTTGGGAAGTGTTAGTCTTCCAACTTTCTTCTTCTTTAATATTGTGTTGGCTAATCTTAGTCTTCTACATTTCCACATAAAACATATTTTAGTCCTTAAAATAAGTTTGGTGATATCCACAAAATAACTTGCTAGGATTTTGATTGGGATTGTAGGCAATAGATCAAGTTAGAATTGACATCTTGACAATAATGAGTTTTTCTATCCTTGAAAATTGAATATCCCTTCATTACATTCATCAGAGTCTTATAGTTTTCTTTATACAGACCTTGTGCCTACTGTGTTAGGTTTGTAAAACAATTTTTAAAAGATAATGACGTTGGAGGAATCACACAACCCAATTATGTTATTTACTATTGATAGAGCAGGAGCACTGTCATCTGGGACAAACACCACCACTTTAAGTTCCAGCTCCCTTTCTAGCCTCATGCATTTCAAGGAAATCACTTCTCTTTTAACAACAAGCAGCCAGAAAGAGCACACAGTAAAACACAGATAAAACAGCTTGGGTATGGGTGTTGGGGTGGTGGTGGAGGTGGTGGGAGTATCTTAGGTAACTGCCAAACTTCACCCTC